TGCAGGCTCTGGATCACTTCCACGAATGTTACCCCCATAAGCCAGGGCCTTTACCTGAGTAACTCGCCTCAAGGGACTTCAGCGTCAGAGAGGGGATCTAGTGTCACGGTCACCCAGCCATGGAGACGGAATATACATAGGGGTTTTTGGTTGCATTTATTGGTTGGGGTTTTCTGGTTGCTATGTGAAGGATTTCTTTTAGTACTTGATTGGGACACATTACCACATGACGGAAATTAGTGGAACATGGTGGAGACATCGCGGCTGCATGTGACGCCAAGGGGTTTCTTTTGTATTAGTGATTAGGGGAGGATTTTCTTTTATATAAGGCGGTGTGCCCCCTTATATTTTATGTTCTTTACGCAATCTGGTAATCTCCTTCAGACCTCTGTGCCTAGGAATTACACTCTCTTCTACTTCGCGTCCTCCTGACCCCGTGAACCCTGACCCTGAACCCCTGACCCCCAAACTTCGTACAACTCGCTTCAGTTGTATGCCTGTATCTAGACCTCGTCTCCGAGCTCTCGCCTGTCCCTATTGTGGTGTGCCTTGGGCTACCCGACCCTCAGACCCTGTCCGTTACACTAAGGACTGCCCGATTCCGAAACACTACAAAGGCAAAGAAGAAACAAAGATTCCATCATGCCATACCCCCTAGAGACATGGTCATGGTACATGGCAACCTATTCAGTCCCAAGACAGGAAGAAGTAAGAAACTCCAACCCTTCTAGTGAGGTCTATTCAGAGTACTTGAATTTGATAGCAATACCGAGAATTACACTATCAAACTGGAACGACGCATGTACCGGTGTGGCAAAGTAGTAGTTCACTCAACTACAGTTAAGAGATGACATCCAAATGACAATAGCAGATTCTCAGGACGCAGCCACTCCTGACTAGCTTCGCTATTTACTATTCACAACCAGAAGGAATAGGAGGTAGAAGAAGTGTTGGACCATAGAAAGCACTATGAAACGGATCAATTCCTAGTCAAATGGAAAGAATATCCAGAATCTGAGAACAGCTGGGAACCAGTGGAAGGACTTGAAAATGCGATGACGCTTGTGCATGAGTGGTGGGAAGCCAACATGCCTGGAGAACAACTACCCCCTACCATCAACCATATCATGATAGCTTGGTCACCTACCTTGCCTACCACACAATGAATCAGCGAAGACCCTCCTACCAGACCAGACTTCTGGGTACCTTATGACGCCAACGAATTTGAAAGCAGTAGTGATGAGGACCAGACAATGGCAGATGTTATAGAATTCTTTATCTAACGGTACACTCCCTATCCGAATACCTTGAAGATGGAAAACTATGAGGAACTGAATGTGAGGCTACGCCATCAGCTTGTGGGACTGTTGGTGGACCACGGTACTATCCTACTAGAAAACTACTTTGATACCCTCATGGTTGATTACTGTCCGAATTGTGTAGATCTGTTGGTGGAATTATGGGAAAGAGCAGCAGGTATCCGCGATTACTACTGTAATTTTTATTTCCTGTATTCCAATTCTTTTATTCAATTACGAACATGTGTGTTTTGTATTGGTGATGGAGATTGGGGGCTAGCTGATAAAGAATACGGTGAGGATTTTTATGAGGATTTTGATTTTTGAGATTATTGATTTGTTTGGGTAAACAGATGTTTTGTTTTAGGGAATGTAACCGGAACTGAAGTTCAGTCCGTTCGGTTCCGGGATTTGTTTTATGTTTTGTTTTACTTGTGGTTTTGAGTATCCTTTGATACTCAGTTTGTTTTACTTGTGGTTTCAAGTCTCCTTTGATACTCAGTTTATTTTACTTGTGGTTTTGAGTATTCTTTGATACTCAGTTTGTTTTACTTGTGGTTTTGAGTATCCTTTGATACTCAGTTTGTTTTACTTGTAGTTTCGAGTATCCTTTGATACTCAGTTTGTTTTACTTGCAGTTTCGAGTATCCTTTGATACTCAGTTTGTTTTACTTGTGGTTTGAGTAAGCAATAGTTGGGAAACTCGTTCATGCAAGCCATGGACTAAATCTTGTATTTAAAGACCGCTGATTTTCTCACAGGAACAACAGACTTCAACGGACAGAGTATTTCTAATATACTTGGTTGAATGGTTACCTCTTCAAGTCCCTATTCTTTATATCTTTTTCTCGGAGCCTCCCTTAGTGCAGTACACCCATAGGTTGTAGATCAACTTGTGCACTACTCCTATTGTACCCGGAAGCATGACTAGCATCCCGGTGTGAACATGTTATACCTGGTGTGAGCTCTGGACCCAGAGGTGCCTGTTAGAAATATTTCTGTCAAGTTACAGCATGTTTGAAGTCCAGTAGCTCTTTCTGTAGTCTTCTAATTAATGTGCAAGTAAATGCCAATTGATTGTCATTGCCTAACAAACAATTCTAATATTTTCCTAAATTTCTCTGAGAATATTTCTGATGTAAGATAGGGTAATAGTATCCCAAAGGTAGGATAATATAACATGTTAAGACAGAGTGACTTTGTCTAGCCTTCTGACCTATTCTTAAGATAGTATGGACACAGTTATATTGTTATAGCTACTTAGGAAAACCTATTCCTCAAGTACCTTATACTTGTGGAGATATCTAGACTATTGAATATCACTAGGAACATGCTTCAGAATGTCTGCCTAGTCTACTACTTGACCTCCTGGTAGCTTGTATGGGCATGGATACAGATTGCCACAGCTTATTATTATAGGATAGCTATAGCAGCTAGAGTGGGCTGATGACTGAGACTGTTCAGGGATGTGGTAATGATATCAGGCAACCATTAGCAGTAAAGGACATACTTATATTAGTTGGGGTAATCTGATAGGAGAGTTTCTAGTATAAGTCTAACTACTTGAAAATTATATTCAAGCTCTTTTACTTCAATACAGCCAACATCCTCTCAAGACTTTAATTGAATGATTCATCTTTCTAGCAGAGCTCCTATTACATTGTTCCATACAACAACCATTCCGTTTGGAGGTACCTTGTGGGAATAAATATTCCACAGCTCCAACTCTAGAAGAATGGAAGAAAAATATTCCACAAGTGTTCTATTGTGGTAGCTTTTTTTTCTTCTTTTTTTTTTCTTGTGTTCTTCCTGCCCATGGCGGTGGCGTATTGATAGCCTGAAAAGCGTCACTTTTTGTGTGTCTTGGCCCCTGTCTAGTTACTAAACGACCTCTATTGGTGCCTTGGAAGCGAGTGATCGCTTGTGATTTTGGAGGTATTAGAACACCCCACCTGAAGAAACTGAACCCAGCCAGCGGCAAAGGCTGGGTTTCAACGCCTTGAATGCAATTTCCCAAGGTTTGATAATGGAATCATATCTACTCCTATTGTGCGCTGCCCTTGGGTGAACTAACAGCAGGCTTGAATCATCTGGTAATGATGAGCCCACAACCCGGTATTGTGATCTCTTTATTGCTTTCCGGGAGCGGACCCCGGCTGCGCGCCGAAACGCGGCAACTTGGGAAAGGGGATGGATAGAAAGCGTGTTTACATGCGAACTTGTGAATGTGCAAAAACATTCAATGAATAAAACTGTAAGATGGGCCAACACCTATGAGATCAAGGGCTGCCGTTCACTACTTCAACTGGTACTTGGAAGTCTGTATTGTGTTCTCTTTTCGGAAAAATAATAATCGTGCTCTTTCTTGATCGTCGGAGAAGGTTTACCTCCACCAATCGATATTAAACTTTCTATCTTGATTCACAGCAAGTGACACCCACTGACTGACAAAAAAGCAGGAATCCTGTCAGGGTGGGCAGAACCCAATAAAGTAAGAAACAGGGATTTGAATTCAAAAACACCTGAACGAGCAGAATCTGCTGCAATTAGGCAAGGATCACGTTAACGCAATGCTTATAGAAACAACTGCGGATGCTCAATGTCACTGGTGGGGTAATGCTCGTGTTCTGGTCTATTGTATATATCTATAGATATAGATTTCATTCTCTCTCCGCGCATATTTGAATTTTCAAGCTTATTCAAGTTTTCCTCTATCCTTCTATACTACAACTGTTCCCTCCCTTTATCCTCTAACACCTCCGCGCGGCTGTGCTAACTTTCCCAGGAACCATTGTGTCTGTTGGATTCCATTCCTCCCTTCTCCTTTTGCGCCGGTTGCTTCATACCGGATACCGTATCATTGTCGTTCCACACTCCAGCAAACAAAGCAGTGTTCTCAACAGTCCGGGGCCCCGTAGGGCCCGACGGAGGGACTGCCAAGAGCCCGGGACGGGACGGGCGGCAAAATATAGTCCATCCTCGTCCTTGAACTCCTAGGACAGCCGCCATGAGGAAGGGCGATGAGCCCCACTATCTGAGACAACTTCTAGTAGGGGACCGCAGGTGACTACATAGGACCACCGGGAATCGTAGGGGATGGTGGGGGACTGCGGGGGACGGCAGGGGATTGTGGGTAACTCTGGCTGATGCCAGGGAACTCAGTGAATAGTCCCCCCCTCCTATGTGTCGGGCAAGTCTAGGAAAAGACCAGACGGGACGACACAATGTAGTCCGTCCTGGTCCTTCATTCCTACCTGTCGGGCACATTGAGCAAATGATAGGACGGGACGACTAAATGCAGTCCGTCCTGGTCCTGGCTCAGCACGGATGGACGGCGCCGTTGCAAACACTGAAACAAAGACAGCCCTCTTCGAGGTTGGACATCCAGTACCTTCTGGAATGCCGAACATGCGGGCCACCTATATTTAGGATTGGATGGAGAAGAAATGAGAACCTTCGGTCACTGTTAGAGGGAACCGGCTGGAGCTGAGCATGCAGGATGGTTTATTTAAGAGTGATGTTACCTCAAGCTTCCCATCCAGCAGCTAGAAATCCATCAACGAGCAACAGCAACCAGAAAGCATCTCAGGTATAAGAACAAGGTACGTTTATCTGATGTTACATCACACCTCACCCTCGCTAGACCACCGGTATTGAAGAAGCACTTACTAATTTATAGAGAAAGAGCGACCGAATATGAGCATGTTTAGGGTCCTGAACAAGCGACCATTCAAACAAATGGGTGCCCGCAACCATCCTGCTCAAAACTATTTCTGTCGGGTAAGGTAAAGGTCTTAATAGTTGGTAAAATATTCTAACCTAGCAGTCTAGCGGATCAAGAACACCAATAATGGGAGTAAGCTTAGTAAAAGCCACTCTGCTGGCAGTCCGGATGGTCCAATCAACTCCGCAGCCGCCGTTCAATCCGGTATATAGTCCTTCTGCATTCGCCACTTTGGAACAGTTTGCACAGTTGGAAAAGGTAAGCTTGGAAACAATGGTTGGATACAGAAATTGCACTGATATCATATTAATATCATATTAGAATCAAGCTGTGATGAACTGCAAAATCGATTACCTTGAATCTAGCATGGATAAACCAAAGGCAGGACTCAAAGACCTCCGTGATAAAATGGAGAGAGATGCTAAAGACATCAACGACACGGTCGATAAAAAAGATAGCAGGATGGGAGCTAAGGTGGATCGTTGGTGTTACGTTATAGTGGGCGGTCTTATTGCATTTTCCGTGAAAGGTGGCTTTGGCCAGTTGCGGACTCCGGAGTCTAAATTATGCTCTGATAGACCTGAGATATAGTAAGTGTTATGAAGTCTACTCATTTAAAGCATTGGGGGATGCTCGGATATACTGGATGTTTTAGACTTGATTGGATTTTACTGATTGTTATAGAGTAGGCTTTTCTCTATCGGGCAGTGCTGTTGGCAAAGTTGATTTTTGTTTATTGGATCTGATGTATCAGAGTTCCATTTGGGTGATCTCCTGCTTACGGCCAAGTCATTAGCGTTTACTTTAATTAGTTTTATTTCTTGGCTTTTGCAACTGTGCGGTATTCATCTCAATTTCTCAATACCGGCATGACAGGAAATACCCTCCCCCTATGGACTGGTAGCAGAGGTGTTCTCCGTAGTATCCCAATCTGCTCGTTCTCGCAGCTACTCGTATTAATCCACCACGAAATTGGCCCTCCAAAGAGACTAGAAGTAATACTTGGGTAGTACACTCGGTATTTAATCACTGCCGGGATGCTCCCTCCCCCGGGTTTGCCGTAGTGGTAAGCCCGGGAATTCCTCTGCAAGTACACGTTTTGGATGGCACGCACTATATGGTACGTGATTTATATGACCATCAAGCGCACAAGTGCTTGGGCAAACAACCACCGCAATGTGACCCCGCACGGGCCATAAAATATGAACCACTTCAGTGCACTCCTGAGCATGCCGGAACCCGTTTGGGGAGAAATTTCTAAAATTCACGTAGTTAGTTCCCAGAGGTCGCTGTAGCTGTCCATTTGCGCAATGCCTTGAATTTTAAAATCCCCCCGCCTAGCTGGATAGCCCTGTTTTTTTTATCTATCTATATATTTAGCCCTCCCCCCACTACTTGCCTCACTCACGTGATGCCTATAGCGAAAACACAAATATCTATCCTTCGAAAATTGCCTAAACCCCCTCAAGACCGCCGCAGTGCCTCCACCGGCTGCTCTTGGCCCTCGTTGGTCTTTGGGGTAATTGTTGTGACCGACTGGACTGATGGAGAGCTCATGGTATCCGCATTAGGGAATTCCGGAGCCGACACTACAGGGATTGGCAATCGCACGAGTAATCGTATTCGCAAGATAGGTAGTGGTAACGGAAATCTTAACAATGCCACTGGTACGTGTTGGCCTCCGAGCGGTGCAATGATAGTCACCTATATCAAAAGAATCCTCCTCCTCCGCTGCCCGTAAGTCGTTTTTGAGCTGTCAGCCACGGAGGCTGCCCAAACGGGAGGGGAATAACATCTTCGTTCAAATCTAACAACGGATGGGGACGAGCCGATGGTCCCCTGGATTCTGGGACGGCTCCGGCGGGGCGAGCTGAGTAGATATCGGACCAGTAACGGTGGCGGAGCCTTGGCCGCACTCTTGGGAAAAATTTGCCCCCCCCCCCCCCGGTATAGTGCAAAACGTCTCAAACCGGGTCCTGGGAAATGCCAGGGTGGGTTGTTTCTCTAGTTGGAGAATAATCGAAGTTTGGCGAAGCTTGAGGGAATAAAAGCATACCTGGTGTATCACTTCCCTAAGGGAGTAGTAGCTGAGCGGGGTTTTAATTTTTAATCTGAAGCACACTGCTGGAGGAAATTAGCCGTGAAACCTTTGCAAAATTTTGGTGAGTACTCGAGTACCCGCAATGGGGGATGTCAGGAAAATTGGTTTGGTATCATGTCGTACTCTTGGGGCGCATGAAGTATCCAAAGGAATGGGTCGTGGGTGCTTGCGGAGCACATGTTGGGCGCTCGTATAACTTGTGGGCACAGGTCTTTCTTTTTTGTCACACATTCCGCGAATCCTCCCTTTCTGGTATCAAACCGTGAGGCACCGCGCCCTGCTTGTGCACCTGGCTTGCTGCGGCTGTGTACTAGTACGAATTACAGTATGATACTTCGCCGCAGGTGGGTGTAACTTTCAAATTTCGAAGTCATCACCCAACCAATTCGGCCTTCTCCTGAAGCAACCCATACCCCAGGCACTTTTTGCGCAGTACCACCACCACCACCCCCGGGTTCTTCGGTTCCGGCTTGTTCTACGAACTGCACTACTGCTTCTGTGTTACGGCTAGAGTACCAGGTACCACGCAGAGAACGCCAGTACCGGTACTGGTCCGGCCCGGCTTGGCAAATGACTTAACCAAGGTTTTCGGGAGCCCCGCACTACAGTACCAGTGCTTATGGGTGTTGACCTGCGCGGTTGGCACCGGTTGGGTGGGCCCAAGCTAAGGGAAAGGGGATCAATTATGCACCTGCTTTTCCCCCTTATTATACTACTATAGTAGTACATGACAAGCCCTTAGAAAAAATCAGAAGCGACCCTGAATTCGGGTGAAAAGAAACATCCCGTAGAAAGGTGATTATAGTGATGATAATGATAATGCTGTTGTCCGTTTGATTCGCTCAGTTTTTTTTTTTACTCTCATTATTATTATTTTTATTGAGACTTTTTTTCCCCCTTGGTCTCTGCACTTTGAGCCGGAAACGTGGGCACCGGAGGCTTATTCTGGGCTGCGGAGATATATCGTGAAAAACACCCCGTAGCGGATATGGTGAGGGACATCTGTAGCCGGAGCACTTGGCCCGGAATATGATACCGGTATATTGCTCAACTTCAACCCACAAAGGATTTCCGACCGGCGCTACGGTGAGGATGACTGCCCCGTTTGAGGGATAGGGTGGATGGCACTGGCGCAATCATGGAGAGGATGTAGCCTGGGAAAATCTCAAGTTTTCATGGAGTCACTCGGGTTTAGTGCCCGAGCGCTGGGAGTTGGGTCAAACTTGTGCTGGGAGAGCGGGGGGGGGTGGGGGGGTGCCGGTTGACGACATGTTAATTTTTATGATAATAATATTATAGTAGTTGATTTGGCGGCACAGTTTCTAACTAGATATTTAAACTGCCAAGGGATTAACCCGTAGTGTAGCCACGCTTGAAAAATTAACATATAGTACTACAACGTTAATCCAGAATTTTAATGCCCTCCTCTTCCGGCTACGATAAGAGAGGTCCCTCACAAACTCGATTAACCGAAAAAGCTCCGGTGATGCGTTTAGGACCTGGTTGACATCACTCTTTGTCATTCGGTCTTCCATCCTTGTGCGATATATTGAATCCTCGAAAAGAGGTATTGGATGTACGAGGACCATTTTATTTCCCACCTACGACCACGCCCTCCAGCCGTTTAAGGGTAGGGCTCGGTAGGGCAAAGAGAATTCATGAGAAAGGAAAGAAGTGAGTGACGATTATTCCATAATTCTATCTGTTAGAGAAGTGGCTATTATCTAATAAGCTAATGGCAGTAGTTAAAAAGAGAAATCGTTGAACAAGTTAGTCAACAATCCTCGTGAATACCGAAAACCCACTCTCCCTTCCGGTCCTAAAATCGCCGGCGGGGAGGTTGCGGCGTTTCGGTGGGGGTGTTGTCCGGGGATTAGGTACTTAGGCAACTTGGGCTGCAAAAAGCACACTCTTACAGAGTCTTACTAAAAGTTCGGTGCGTGTTGCCATCCTCAGATCTGGTCAAATGGTTGCGTATATCAAGGCCTGTCGTGGGTATCCGTGTTCCCGAAGTGCCACTCGCAGGGACATTCCCTTGCCCTCCCCCCCCATCTCCCCCGGTACGACTTTACCGTCACGAAGGCACGACTGGCTCGCAACAAACTAGCGCTGTTGGCGGGGCTTGCCGCGATGTTGTCGGGTGGGTTGCCGGTAGCCATCCAACTATTTTGTGATTACCGAAGGGGATCAAACTCTGGACCTGAATGAAGTACCCGTACTGTACGGTACTAGCGCAGAAAGCTAGAACCTTTTCCGGTCGTGTCCTGATTAGCTACCGTAATAGGAAAAAAACTAGGTCACGCTTTCCTTATCCCCGGGCCCAAACTCTCGCTAGTCAGTGTGAACAAGCGACCACGCGCGGAAAATACGGGAGGCTATCCTATCACCCTATAATTAAATTAATTATTATTTCGAAACTCGAAGCCCCGGTAGTGTGGAGACGACAGTGCCCTCCAGTACTCAGGGAGTAATTTGTTTAAGCTGACCTGGATGAATCCGGACTAGGGCAGTGGGGGAGGGGGGGGCGATCGGCTCATCACGTGTCCAATAAAGTCGGGTCGTCGCCTCGCGGGGAGGAGGCGGCTCCCGCCGGAGCCTATAGTAGGGGATGGAGTGCCGTACCGGTATTCTGTGTGTTGGCATTGGCAATCGTGAGTGGGGCCCGGAGGCCGTGAGGTGTTTGCTGTGGCGGGAGCTACAAAGAAGGGCTAAACGGGAGTGGCAGAAATGGCGCTCGGGGATAGATAGGCGTTACGGAGCGGATAGGAGGGTTGAGAGGATACTTTCTCTATTGGAGAATATCCCATTACAACCCGAATGGCCATCCAGCAAGAAGACTATCCCACCTGGCTAGGAGCATATTCTCTCCCATCACGGTATACCCGAGCTCCCCCTACATTGGCATATCGCAGATGTATCCGATAGTGGGACCTACTCCCCCCCTCGCAACGGGAATGATTTCCTCTGGCGAGCCTTTAACCGCCGTGTACGCTAAGCAGGGATACGGGGACTGCAGTTACTCCCTCCGATGCTGGCTCTACAGGCTCGGTGCTAAACCGAATCTCAAGATTTATTCATGCAATTCTGTATGAGGCCCACCGGATTCCGATCCTGCAGGATGCAATGATTTCTACGGGTGCAGTCTTTTTTTCGGAGAATTAAACGGGATGTCTATATCATCGCAACTTTTTGAACTGGACTTGCGGTGGAGGGCGGTTGCAACCCTAACCTACGTGGGCTCAATTTTTTCGGCAGAAAGAGGGAAAGCCTGTCGGTTACCTAGATTGGTGCTCATGTTATTTCTCAGGTTCCGGCCGATGTTGCAAGGTTGTAGGATACTCTAGATTGTGGGTGACGATTACCGATGGCAGGTAAAATGCTAGGATTGTAGGCCAAAAGGGAGCTCGGAGAGTGGATTGTTTATGCAGGCCGTCTCCACCGGTATTCAATCACCGAAAGGCATGATTATCTTTCATTCTGCATGTCTTTGGCCACTTCATAGGCTCTAAAGGCCTCCGAGCACATCAAAAACTGCTCGGTAGAAATATTCTGGGTTGGTTGTGAGCATCATGATCGGACGGAAAACCCCGACCGGGACCAAATGTGTCTGTGAGAAGGGAGGGGGGCTTTGTCGACCTTGGTTTGCTGACTAATACGACTGGAGGCGAAGGGTTTCGGGCATTCGGATCTCCCGCGGAGGTTCCGTGAGGGGTCAATGCATTCTTATTGTGCACGCTGACTGTAGCCGGGAGCTGGGGCGGCAGCATGCAGTGGAAGGGAGCCCAGCGATTTCGCTGGCGCTTCTAGAAATGACGCGGATGGAGCCTCGGGAAAATGGAAAGTTTCGGGATGGAGCCGGCTTATTGAATGTGCACTCCATCGACTTTCCGTGACGTACTAATTCTCTCAGGAAAACAATATGCTTTCTGAATATAATCATTCCCATCCTCCATGAATTAATCGCTCAAAACCTAATCACATTCCTGCAGGTTGTTTGTAAAAATAATTAATATCGCTAGAGGCGAAATGACATGCTACACAAATTGTCCTTCCCATCGTCGACATGCAAGCAAGAAAAAAAAACTACTCCTTGGAGGCGACTTGGTGGATCTCTGTGCGGAGGCCAGTCGCGGCTCCGATGTCGACTTTGACGTTGCCTGCGGCAATGTCTTTCTGGAGGTTGTCGAGGCGGGAGACGAGAGAACGGGTTTTCCAGGGTGGGCGGCCGCTCTGCTTGGGAAAGGGTATTAGTCAACACACATTGGGAGAAAAATCGAGTGGTGGAGGAACAAACATCAAAGACATCGTCCATCTCTTCCAGTGTAATACCCTTTGTCTCGGGAGCGGTGAAGAACATATGAACGAAGGCTGCACCGTTAAAGGCGGCGAAAATCATGTACATTCTCCAATTAATGGTTCTGAGTAGAGGTGGGACGGCGAAGGCCAAGCCGCAATTACAGGCCCAATTGGAAGCGGTGGAGAGGGATACGGCCATGGCCCGCACCTTATTGGGGAAGACCTCAGCAGGCATAGTCCAAGAAACGGGCCCCCAAGTGATGGCGAAGGTAGCGACGAAAAGATAAGAGCAAGCAACTACGGCGTTGGCTTGGGTCTCTTTGTTCACCATGTACCAGGTGACGGCATCCGATGGGTCCGGTTGATGTTGACCAAAGGCTCCTTGGATAGAGCCGGAGATTAATAGCAAGGACATCATGGCGAAGGAGCCGAACAAGAGAGTAGGGCGGCGACCCCACCGGTCCATCCAGATGATAGCGGGAATGGTCATGACGACGTTGATTATGTATTGGATGGAGGCGGGAAGGAGAGGGTCCGTTATGCCTGCACCCTCCATAACGTAGACGATGTAGTACACTATCAGACCATCAGGAACATCCTGCCCGATTCGATCACTCTAGGAGAGCTTACTCATGACATTCATGCCGCAAAGCTGAGACCACATCTGAATGCTCATACCAAGAATAACACGCTTGAGAATCCTGGGCTTGGCAAGTTCGGCATATGATGAAATCGCCTCTTCACGTTCGAATCGGATAACGTCCTCAATTTCCTGGTACTCTGCCAACACGACCGGGTGGTTCAGGTCTCCGTTTCCGTGGACATCCGCTAGAACGCGAAGAGCTTGCTCCCACTTGTCTTTAACAGCTAGCCAACGTGGGGATTCCGGGAAGAAGAAGAGACCCCCGATCAGAATGGCAGCAGGAATAATCTGAACACCCCAAGGGATGCGGAATGCAGCTGGGCCTTGTTTCGGGTTCTTGGGACCGCCTTCGTAGAAGGAAGCGCCGTATTGAACGAAGTATTGGATCAAGATACCCTTGAAAGTAGAGTTAGATATATGGGAAATTTGAAGGGATGGGCAAAGAATACCCATGTGATAGCCCATTGTTGAAGGGAAACCATGCGACCACGAATTTCTTTGGGTGCAAGCTCGGATTGGTAAACGGGGACAAGAGTAGAGGTAATCCCGACACAAATTCCAGCGATAATTCGGCCGACTACTAACATGCCAACATTTTGGGAACCTGCTTGTATGCTGCCACTCCGATCAGCACCTTCTCTCGGGATCTCACTCTGGGATAATCCTACATTGATCCGAGAATCCAGATGATGGCTCCGATCTGGATTGCCTGTTTACGACCAAAGTAATCGCCGAGATAGGAAGACACCAGCGAACCGGCCAGCGAACCGGCTGGCATTGCACTGGTGATAGCTCCTTGCTATTTGTAACAGTCAGACCTCCAGAATTAAACAAACAACCCAAAGAGAACAAACCTACCCTCGCGCCCTGCGGATTACCGAAGTAGTTCTTGTAGGCATTAGTTCCAAGAACACCAGCCATGGAACTGATGTCGAAGCCGAAAAGGCCACCGCCAATGGCTGCGAAAGCGCAAATGGCATAGATGTTCTTCACCCTGTACACCATGGTGAATAATTCGTGCAAGGGACCTTCCTAACTCCTATTCTGGAATCAAGAGTCTGCTCAGCCCAAAGTGTATAGATGAATCGGGTATCGGGCGCACTAAGAAAGGATGGAGAAAGAACATGCGGCGCGCAGCGGGGTTTTCGAGTCTTTATAACCAAGTCTTCATTAACAGGCTGATAGTACTGTTGTGTCACGTCTCACGTTTTCCCCGGCACCAAACCCTAGTTCACTTTCTGGTCTATGTGGGTTATCATATTATCACACCGATAAGTATCATAGCCAAATATCCCGCACGGCACCACGCATATTGCCTACCAAGGGCATGAAACCAACGGCCCTTCGACCACTTAGCCCAACTGGATCTCAGAGGCGGGAGGAGGGAAAGGAGGGGGTCTCTGAATGGAGGTAGCCGAATAGTGACCTCTATCTCCCATGGCCAATCCATGTTTATTTTCCTCTCCTTTGGAAATACCCCGGTACGGTGGTTTCGTGACCACAATGAGGTATCCTTTCATCTTCTGATGTATTCAGAAACGGTTAGCAGAATGTTTTTAGCCGAAGGCAATTTCCATGCCAAGCGCGAACAAAATCCCAGTCGCAGGGCGGGGTGAATGAACAGGGGTGACAGAAATTCTCCAAGCACAATAGGCCTCGCCTCGCCTTTGAATCCCTCGCTACTCTAACTTTGATCAGCTATCGCAAGGAGTGGACTCGTGTCTTATCTGGTGACCAGGAAGGTTTCCCACATTTCCGGAACAATGGTTACTTGCGGGGAATTGAAAAAATATTCGCCGGATCCCTTGCAACACAGCTAGGATTGAGGATGGTAGGTAACCGATGAGAGCCAGAATCCGCCTTAATTAATCCCCGAACAATGGGATGGGGATGTCTTATGCCCACAAGGGGGATCAAATTCAATTCTGTGGTCAAATGGGTCGTTTTGTTGCCCTTTGCTCCAATGGTAAAGCTAGGGGGACTAAAGTTAGAGTTGAGTTCTAGCGGATACAGTAGAGTACGGTTCAATGCCAGTATACTGCTGGACGGGGCTATGACAGCGCAGCTGTCTATGTAGGGCCCGAACCAAGAATCTCTCCCTTTGATTGGATTTCGGCCCGAGGGTGTTTTGCGACCCGCAACGGGGCTTGGCGCCGTATTGAGATGAACTTCCATTCCGATATGCAAGCCCCGCCAACAATCCTAGAAAATTGATCTATACAAATACCATTACAATATGTGAGGGGTGAATTGGCCTTTCCAAATCCTAAGCTGCGCTACGAACCACTACTCATGTTCCCCACACCGGAGAGAACTGCGTAGGCTGTCACACGCAGCGGAGTATCAACAACTGATCTGATCAGACCCGGTATTTACTTTTTTGAGCTGGTTCGTCAAAGCAAGAATGGCTAACCCCGCCCCTAGCATATCCATCCCCACAACAAAGGTGTAGAGTTCCCCGTATTTATCACGCTTCTTTGCGGAGTTTTGCCGGAGATCCCGCCGTACACAGGACCATACCCGGGGTACGTTTAACGGGTTCGGCATGTGCTTTTCGATGATCTTGTGGTTTACTACTTGCACTAAGGTTGTCGCTTGTACTATTTGAGGTGATTCAGCGTGAACTACTATAAGAGCTCATTGCAGCTAAGTTCTGGGATAGTTTTTCGGCAGCGATCAACGGTCGCAGTGCAACTAGCTGAAAAAGTACGCATACAGTGCAGCCTCAAGTGTGGCACCCCCAAATATCTCCGTCGAAGAGGGTCAATCCCAGGAGAGATACCTAAACAACGAATGGTCAGGCTATGTTCAGGAGCAGCGAGGGCGGGGTAGATTTGGAAAGAACCTCGCCGAGATACCGTGGTAAGTAAGAGCATCAATTTCAAAGTTCCGAGTCACCTCGGCTGACTGGCGACATAAGGAGACTTATCCAGTTTTAGACTACACCAGAACTGTCTGAGGAGAAAAATTACACCACATGGTTGGTGTAATTCAGATAATTACTACGGTTGTCACAGAAGTTGGTGCTATTAGGGATCCAATATGAGGGGGGTTAGTTTGAGGTTCCTCTCCTGGTGGTTCGGCATTCAGGCGTTGGAATGTTCGGGATAGCGAACGGCCCACCAGGGGGGTGGTATTTTATCCTCTGGCTTCCTAGTTTTGCTATGGGGCTGCTGCCAGTGTCGGCAGTGCTCTACTCATTCCTTTTGGGTCATAGAGTTTTTACTTGTTTCGGAGCTGATAGGTGTTTCGGAGGTGCATATAGCTCTGGCTCTGGACTTAGCTAGCACCTCTGTCGATCCTCTATTCATCACTACCCTACGATCAGTTGTGCTTTCCTTACGATACAATGGTTTCACTCACACCTAACCCTTTATCCTTTACTTCTTTCTTTTGGTTCCATCAGATTTATGCAATCCATTTACTTACCATAATTTTGATCACTACCATCTTTTAGTGCCGGTATCCAGCGCGAGTGTTGTTTTGTTTTCTAGTTCACTATACAGGCCTCAGGGCAGATAGTGCGGGACATATAATACGTGATTTGGAGAAATTTTCTTGGCAAAGATTGGGTTTGAGATGCTTAGGAAGGGGAGCAAGCACTAGTGGGTCGTGAAGATAACCCCCACACTATGGAAAGATGGTGTTTGGGGCATCGTTGGACTAGAGGGGGTTAATTCTGCTCGTGCAACTAATGGTCGTCATGATACCATTAGGGATGCATGCAGCCGGGGCCCCCCTATGGGAAGATTGCTGCCGAAAAACATCTTACTTGAGCCCCGCCTCCTTTTCCTCCTACGGCCTTCTTCCGATCAATATTTCCAACATACGGACAAATGAAACCCCAGATGAACAGGTTTCAGACTAGGGCCTGTGCCAATTGCGCGCCAAAGAGTAGGGGGGAAGACCCAGGGAAAAGCATGTACGGGTCGATGAGGTGCAGTCGACAATTGGGAGGAGATACTGCCTGAAAATCTGATTCCTCCGCAGACTGGATACTCAACCTTTTCCGGCGCTGGGGATAGCTGTACTACCTCTTGTGAGTCTATAATCAATGTCTGATTCTTCCCAGGTGGCTCAACTCTGTTGCCTTCTCTTACCATGAATCACGCTCCCTGTTTGTTTTCTATCCTCATTGTGATTTCCTTTACTATCCAGGTTGTAGGTCGGCCGCCCTGTAGTCAATAATGAAAGCTGCATTATAATCAAATATTGTAACCTACAAATAACCTTCTATGGGTTTTGAGGATACCATGGCGTTTAAGGGGATTTTTCAGAAAACCAGGGGCATTTGAGACCTTGGGGATAATTTTTATAGTGCATTTCTTTTCTTTTTTCCCCTACGTGCCCGGGAAGTATGGGGCATAAGTTCGAGTACTAAAAACTTGATATAAAAGACTTGCGATCATACATTAGTCTACAGTAATATCATATGATATCACAGATCAAAAGGTTATGTTCCACAGCCCCTCTACACCAAAAGCACCCACCTCTATCTCCTATCCAGGTAGAACCAGTGCCTACGAGAATATACCAAAATCCCATGCTGTGTTATTAAGCCGGTGGATGACGCATAAAAACTTACAGAGCTCTTAAAAATCATAAGACCGGAGAGGAAATGAGGGCTAAGCGGGAGGTATGTCGCTGCCTCATCCTGAACGTTTTTCAATGGAATCCCGTACAGATTTTTAGGTCACTTTCGGCAAGGGTGATACGGTTGTGCGCTGTGAGCTCAACCTCAACTTTCTTTTCGTTCGTGCTTCTGTGGAGACGAGCCCGGAGTGGTTTTCCAGCGGATAACAAAATCGGATTACCTTCGGCAATGTACCACCAGGGGTCATCCCTCCAAAAATCTCGGCTTCTAACCCAAATTTAGTGTAAAACCCAACCTGGGGGGAAATTTTCCGCTTGTGTATCGTAATTTCTTTTTATTTTTCTCCATCCGGCGGTGATAGATGCCACGCCACTTTCCTCGCATCGCACCCAACGGAGCGGAATTTCTGTAATATGATATTATAATTATATTATTATACTTTATTTTTTTTGTAAACCTTTCATAACGCCCTGGGGTCACCAACCCTTGGCACCCATGAAGTTCTTGCAAAAAAATCGATGCACTACCCTGTAAACATTCTTTTTTCCTTCTTGCCTTGACCCACATTTTGGAGCGCGTAAGCGGTGTTAAAGGAGCCTGAACAGATATCCGCCTCTTCTAGACATAGAGGTCTCTCACCACCTATTTTCGGCCCGTTTCTCCCCCCGCGAACGAGGAGCTTCAACTCTTTCAGTGTAATTCTCATTGGGAGGGGAGTTCGCACTAGCGTTAATTTCGTCCATGGTGCGAGAAGGTGAAAAGGGTGAGAGCTCATCACCCACGCCGACACAATCGCAGAAATCCGTTCCCGCACGCAAGCCGCGGTTCCTACCTAAAATTTTGTGGGCTCTGTGACGTCTCACATAAATAATTGAGGGTTTGGCTTTTATGATAGCGGGCTGTTCTTGGTGTGAATGAGGTGACGAACATGCCATTCCCACCTCGTCCTGCTTTAGCACATGGGAATATCAATTGGCGCTTCTCGGCTTCTCGGCGCCTCCGGGGAAACTGTAGGCGTTTCCCTAGAACGCTCGGGGGATGGACCCTTTAGCCCTCCTATTCGGTAACCGGTGATGAAACAACCAAGCGGGCAACTGCCACGAGGGCACACAGTGAGAAAGTACCCACAGTACCAGGATTAAGCGGATCTGTTTGACATCGCCCTCCGTCGGCTACTGGCTCAGGTAGTGAGGGATGTTGAGAAGTGATAACCGAAGGAGAGCGAACACAACAAGTAGTGTGTGGCACGATTGGAACCGAACCCAGCAGATTTAGAGGCGGTAGTCGCGTAAGTTTTTCCCGGGGAGAACGGAAATAGGCTATCTGGGGGGGGCTAAAAAAAAATGGATTAGAGGAGATTTTCTTTTGCGTGGCTTCGTAATGGCCGAGTGATGAGTGATGATTGACGGAGGCTAGAGAGGAGGCTCCATGGACGAGCCTACATATAATTTAATCGATAGGGAGAATTTATGCATCAAGGTCATCATCAATACCCCCCCGAGTCCTCGCTTCAGAGGTTACCCCACCGTATTCGAAACTCATAGTCCTGGATTGTCCTATGGCAGTGCAGGTGACGATTGGGAGAGGGGGATAAGGTCTTGTTTTTCTCAAGAAAGAGTTCTCTCTAAGAACCAGAACTTCAATGTACAGTCATGGGGAGTTTTAGGACACTAAACCGTGGATTGATCAATTTGACTTGGGGATCCAATGGAACTCGTCTAGTTTTTCCCGTACCCCAAATCGATCGAAATGAACTCGAACGCTCGTATTGCCAACCAGCTGTAGAAAAAATCCCGCCCCGCACCACACCCAAGCCAGAGGCCAAGCTGAAATCAGGAGTTTTCAGTAGGTAACGACAAGTGCGAAACACGAGAATCTGTTCCACAGTCTCGGGGTTCTCCAGCCCCCGGAATTGCCAAGTAGTACCAAACGAAAAATAGTTAGATTATATTACGTGTTACCGGTATTTGCCAACTACGTACTCAGCTTTGTGGGGTAATCTCCACATCTTTAACTGATACTCCTATCAGGTTCAAGCTATCCCAGGAGGCAGTTCCCGACTAATGCTGGGAAATAGTTAGTACTCTCTGGTGGTACAATATACTGTAGCACCCCGGTCCATTCGTTATTGCTAAATTCTTGGCTGCTCGTATTGGCTAATGTTTAGTCTCGATAAGACTCATTTTACTATATCAATTCAGGGTGTATATATCTGAAAGATTGTGTTTCGACTATTTTATGAAAATAGCCTACAGTATTTGCTTCACGGGATGCTAGATCGGCTGTGCATATATTTGTCTTGCATCCGCAATGCACCAGCTTCTGTTCCGAAAAATGGAAAAAGTAGTTGCCGCGGGTGGGATATTCGGATGTGCTCAGTGTGTTGGATACTCTGTGGAGAAAGTTCAAAGTTGAAATTTACTGCGATCTATCAATTTGTGTCACCAATAGTTGCGGCTCACCCTGGCTATTTCCTCCTGCATTTATGGGACATCTCAATTTTTTTGTTTTATTCTTTGTTTTTTTTAATGCCTTCTTGCTCTTTTCACTTCCTCCCCTACTTTTTACTTATTATAATACCTTGTGGTTTTCAAACGCCTCTTTCTCTTCTCGGCACCTCCTCGTACTCGTATAGACTGGTTAGTCCCCAGGCAAGCTATGTGAAAAAAAAAAAACCTCTCCGAAAAACGGACGACTCAATTTGAGAACCATCTGGAATAGGCTCTGGACACTAATGGTTTGCTCCACCTTGTCTCCGTTAAGCGGGCCATTCCTGTCTTGGATCACTCCGGCTTCGTCCTGGCATGACCAGACTCGGTTTACTCCGCCGGGGCGTCTTGGAGAACAGAATGGGCAGGGTTGATTCTATTGCGCTAGAACTGAACTTGAAAAGCGAAACAAAAAGAAAAGAAAAAAAACGACTAGGTTAATATTGATATTATAAGTGCTAAGAGAGCCGACCTATCTCCACTTACCACCCTTCCCAATGAAGAAGCCGATTCCACCGGGCTCACTCAAGGAATACCGACACACTTGGCCGGGTTGCCGGCCGACTAAATAGCAAGACTTGTAGGCGGCAGAAATGGGATGAAGCATGCTAACGACTTTGCTCCACGGTATCTCACCGGTTCCTCAAATTTCGACCATGATTTTGAAAGGTTGTTAGCGGCGGAGACCGTACGCAGCAGAACATCACGGTATGTGGCACTGTTGAGTGAACGAGTGGAATATAATTTGACTTGTCCATCAGAGTTGGGCTTCCTGTGGAAGTTAGGGCCGGATGTAAAGAGAGGTTCCTACTTTGCGGTGCGCTTGGTGTTGCCGATACTGTACTCTATTGAAGGTTTTCTTTTTTTTGGGCTCTATCCGGGGTCAGGGAATAGAGGGGTATGGTATGCCTCCCGAAGACTAAAGAACCTGGATGATAAATTCCTCCCACACCCCCTTTTGGAATGAGTGGGGTGGGAATATCCAGGTATCGATGCTGCGTGAGGGCTGTTGTGGAGGGATGCCATGATAACACATTAAAAGTGCTATAGTTTTCTGATAGTTTGGTGGAGTGTGATGTCGCCCTTATTCTCACGGCGGGGCCCGAGGTAGTGTCGAGTACTTGTACTCACCATCTTGGCAATCTAGAGGTCGACCCCTGTAAAACCTAATCTTCTGTAGCACGACATTGAGCCCGGATCATACCACTCGCATCAATGAGTACGGTGCGCTATCCCTGTGATGAAGGTACAAATAGGTAGAGTACTGGTACCGGTATGTCCGAGGTTCTCAGAAACCCCGCGGCACAATGTGGACAAGGAGTTTGTAGGCGGTATGGTATTAACACTTTTACCTCTGATAGACGAACGGGAGACTAGCGGACGCATACGGTGATTTTGTATCTACGCCATATATATTCATCAACGAATAAAATATGACTCTAAAAAATAGAAATAAAAAACCACCAAGCACGGCATTATAAGATCTCCACATCCCCACGTCAATATCATCACACAACAGCAGAGTTTTGCCCGTCGTGTGATTTAGGATTTCCCGGCGCAGGAACATACACTTCTCTACCCACAGTTGAGAGATGTATCATAATCTTGAGCTATTATACCGATACCACCATATGCGGAACATTTCCTGCACCCCCTTCACGACGCCACCAAGTAAAAGACTTATATAACCCACGAAGTATATTAGCCTATAAAGCACAAGGCACCCGATGGGGAGCCCCTGAGGATCTGCGCTTACTACTGCATATGTGCGTCTTCTTTCTTCTCAACGTTTTTCCGTGCCACACTGCGCTGGATAGCCAACTAGTAGGATCGGCATTGTCCGCGGTGGGTGCCCGGTGATCTATGCGCACTAAAGAAAAAGGTGGGGTGCGGTGTTTTCTCCAGGTAATGGGACAGCGTTATTGGATACTGCAGCGGCCGTGAGGCGCTACTAAGGGACTGCCTTAGTTGGGTCTGATTCCGATTCCCCCCACCCTCTCTCCCTCCCCGCTTTTGAGGTTCTTCCGGACTTGACTTTCTAGGATAGCGCGTTGGGGGGCAGGGGAGGGGAAGAGATCTGATTAGATCTCTTTGATCGTCACGCTCACCTCTTGGTTCCGTGGCAAGCGCAGATCATTCCCTCCGTATGTATTATCAGATGATCGGTGCATTGCTGACTATTAAAACTCGGCTGTAAATACTCCTGCCTTTTTTTGATCCTACCCGGTATTTCCTCCCTGTTTTGGAAGGTACGGTTTAAGGGTTGGTTCGATACTCGCGCACCGTGTGCATTTGGAGTTATTGTGAATAGTGTTGCATGAAGCAGCGGGTGTGTGAGCCACTGTGGAGTCTAGGGAGGGGGGAGGAAGGGCGGGGAGCTGAATCTTGGGCGTGAGGACCCCTCCCTATTGACGACGTCCTAGGGTATCACGCGCGGCGGAGGTCCTGGCGGAATTGCCGCCTGGGGAAAGTGTACCGCATACTTTGAGTAAGGACTCGGGAATGCGTGCTTCTGGGTTTTGTATCGGCGAACGGCCCCTGATGCGAAGCGCGTTGAGCATGATAGGATATGTCATTGGCAACTTGGACTTCCTTCTAGCGGCCGACCACTAATAGGTAATAGGGATGTTCCCATAAGTTTTCTATTAAAAAAAACATGCAGCGACCCCCTGTGCCCCCTCCTTCATTCTTTCGCCAGCTCTGGCCTTGCCCCCCCCCCCCCCCACCCAACCCAACCGAAATCCAAAAATCGAGTGACACTTCATGTACCTGGCTACTGACTGCCTGCATATCCGGGTCCGGACAACCCAAATCTGCCCTCGCGGTCAACTCGATCCAAGATTTCTGAACCGGGAACAGCCTCCACTCCAGAAGCCATACCGCAAATTCCTCCGGTAAAGTTGTTTAGATAATAAATTGGAATTGATATATGGTCTTTGTGTTCACCCCCGGTCGTCCAGGGAATTCTTGTGGCGGTCCCGCCCGGAGTTGATGGCGTTGCACTGCACATCTTTACCAGATCGCGCCCCTGACGCACGATTCCAGTCATCGCTTTTTGAAATCATCGATAAGCTAAAAGGTAATAAAATACTTTCAAGAAGGGCTCTTTACGAAATTACCGGAGGAATTATTTTCAAAGTATTTTCTCGGACGTTGGTGGTTCGGCGTGTCCGGGGGGGTTTTTTTCCCAAGAACTTTGGGCACCTTCTGGTCGTCCGGCGCTACGCTGCAATACCCGCGTATCGGACCCGCGATTACTATTTTTCCAGCCCACAGTATTACCCTATCTGCCGGTATTTCGCGCGGCGGCATGATAACTGATTAGTATTTTGCGGAGAGGCCGCCCCTCTGCGGGGTAACCAGGCTGTACTTAGCAAGTTTGGGGGAGAGGGCCAGGGCCCGGGGGGGAGGAAGAGGAGGGGACGTGCCGGTTGCGGCACGGGTGGGGTCCCGGTGATATACATGGGGTACGGCGAGATATGGTTGCGGGCGTTAGATGGGATGGAGTGGTGGTGTTGTCTATAGGTACGGCGTTTTGTGGTGGATTAGAGAGTATACCCTTTTTGGTATCATAATAAAAGAAGGTCACCCCCATTTTCAAATGACAAATAAATAGCGAATACAACATTCAATCCTGTCATAATTGAGCACAATCCATAATTAATGAAACAAAATTGGATCTTTTGCTTCTTAAAATGCAAATCCCTTACGAATACAGAAAAATCCTCTTTCTTATTACCCTTCTTTCATAGCTCCAAGTCTGGGATCACAAATCCAGGATCCAGGATCATGGAAGAAGGTATGATAGGTATGATATCATAGTAGACTAGCAGTAGGGTGCTAGCCATAGGTAGGTCGGAGTAAGATACCAGCTATGGTACTTTTATCTCAGGAGATACCGTTCCAGTAAACTTATTAAGCTCCAAGTTCAGTAATCAGTCAGGATCTGAGATCTTTGGTGTGGGGTCCAAAGAATAGAGGGGGAGCCGATTACATTATAGAATAGCTGCATAATTTACTAGTATTTGATCCCGATCCTACTGAGCAGTATGGGAAGAGGATAAAAAATTTTTACACTGAACTTTCCTATAATTCACAATATTAAAGACTGTCTAGAGATTATTACAAAAATCCAGCCAAATTTCTCAATGTGGTTTGGACTCAGGATATTAGAGGTCTTAAAAAGTTGTTGGAGTATATGCCCAGGAGGGTAGATATTTGGTTGAATGTAAACGGATGATACAAGGAAATTTGTTTTTTGTTGCTTTTTAAATTCACATCAAAATTCCTTTATGTTTATTCAATTTTTTAATTTTTTAATTTTTATTTTCAATTTCGATTACTGTCTAAGTAACTCTAATTGAAAAAATTGTCATGGCGGCATCATACGAAACGCTTTGGGTGGCTACTTTTAAAAGCTCACCACTTGTTCCCGCGAAGGGGAAAAAGAAAAAAAAACTCAATAGCAACAACCCCTACTAAACTCCCTCCTTCTTCCCCATATCCTCCATCTCGGCGGCCTCCGCTTCATCGGTATTAAACTCTTTATCCCCTTGGCCAACTTTACTCTCCAGAAACCCATCCATTAGTTTTGCTAACGGCTTGTAAAAGTTCACCCCGATCGGGAAAGTGTATGCCAGCACGAAAAAGATCAATGGGACAAACATTGCAGGACCGGTGTTATCAAAGTGGTCAGCGGTAGCCCCAAGCAAAGGTGGTATGACCGCTCCACCTATGATGGCTCCGACGATAACGGTGGAACCGGTTTTCGTGTGTTTGCCCAATCCGCGAATCCCGAGAGTGAATATTGTCGGGAAACAGATGGACTCAAAGAAGAGAACAAGGTTGAGGGAGGCGAGACCCGCGTTCTTGCGTGCGCCGACCGCCACGGCTTGGAAGACGATTACGCCCGTGAAGAAGCAGAAGAAGACCCAACGCGGCTTGGCGAACTTCATGAAGAAGGTTCCGAGGAAACGGCCTGCGGCAAAACAGCCTTGTGCGGTAGCGAGGAGGTTTGCTCCCTGGGAGCTAGTCGTGCCGGGGCGGGTTTCTGTGACATAGTTCACGAAATAGCCAGCTATTGCGACTGTTCCAATTGGCTCGTTAGTGGAACGCTCCAGAGAGCTTGAGATGGGACGGGGGGCTACCTTGACTCCCGACGTAGCAGAATTGGGCCGCGCCCGCCCACCAAAGGTGGTATTGACGCTTCAATGGCTTACCCTCTACAGCTGTGAAAACTCCACCAGTGAGCTCCATTTGCTGCTCCATGTCCGCGTCCGTAACCTCGGGGATGTTTGCAATATAGAATACACCAGCGAGGACAAAGACGAAGATCGCGATGCCAAGATACACCCATTGCACAGATTGCAGGGAATCATCCTGAACGTTTTTAAAGAAGACATGTGAGGCAAGGACCGGCCCAACCACTGTTCCAATTGCTTGCACGGCTTGGGCTAAGTTGAGACGCATCTCGGAGTATTTTGGTGGACCGCATACTAGGGGAATAGTTATTTACTCAGTATATTCTTATCCGGAAGGGTCCGCGGGAATGGGACGGGGGGTCTATTTCTTACCCGCTAGATATGGGTTGGCGGCAGTCTCGAGCGTACCAAGCCCGGATCCAATGATGAATGTTGCACCACAAAAGCCCTACCGACCATTCCAGCCATTAGCCTCTGTTCCAACGGTTAGATGAACGGCTCGGAATATTCGGTAGTAAACTCACTCCGAAAGATCGCTTTAACGCTGCTGGCCAGAACAATAAGGCACCAATTCCATACAAGGTCAGGCCAAGCATGAATGTTGCTTTATATGAAAATTTTTTCAGAACAATACCAGCATAGGTTAAAGATGCGATTGGGTATGCTCTGTTGCGAGGGGTCAGTGTTTAGCCTTGTCGCCACGTTATATCCATTTGAGAAAGAAAACCAGCGGCTCACCCGAAGTACGCAGCCTGGAGTCCCGATGACCGGGAGCGCGAAATGTGTAGAGTAGTCTGAAAGTGCTTGTTGAGAACATCTAGAAGCCCGTAGGCAAATCCCTATCAAACATTAGCGACTCGGATAATAGCGCCAAAGGTCAGGCAATTTACCCAGAGGAAGAACAAGATTGTAACAAGAATTAAAGGCAATAAGGATTGCTTCAATGTCAAGTCACTTGCATTGGTGATCTGGTCATCCCGAGCGCGCATGGGGGAGCGTTTGCTAAAAAACTTTCCCATTTTGTTTCGTTCGGTATTTGAGGGGCTTCTTTCTATTTGTCTGTAGTGGACGGGTAGGATAAAGAGGAAAGGGGGAAGAGGTGGAGAGGAAGAAGGGGGGGAGAGCCAGAGAAGGGGAGAGCCGGAAAAATATTTTTTTTTATAATGAGGGCAATGGTTGCAGTCTCTGTCTCGTTCCGCCCTCCTCCCAAACCCTGTGACTTGCTGCAAGACTACTGCCGTCATGGGCAAAATTGCGGAAATCATTGCCTGATGGCCGTTGGATACGAGTGCAGGTGTGTGCAACACATTGACCTTTACTTCAAGAGAAAGTTCAGAGGCAAATGTAGGTTGTTCTCAGCACCAGTAGGGATTTGAAGAGGGAGGGGGGGCCATGAACTCGCTTGGATCATACCCAAGGACTCCCTGGGGGGCCCGCGAGTTCCCCTGGTTCACCCTGCGCTTTCCATGGAAAAAACCACGAACGGGCGTGTGATTAAGAGATCTTCTGGCGCTTGCGATCGTGCTAGGCTTCTAGTGCTAGACTTCCGGCTTGATGAAGGGTTCGGGCATTATTGATCCACGGGCTGGGTGTGGATGTGGATGTTTATCATCTCAGGCTATCACGACTCACGAACACACAGTGAGAATAGAGACTTGGACAATCTTTGGGACGTCGCTACGTTATACGATCTCGAACTTCGCATCACATAGGATTTGCTGATGGGCAACCTCAACTGTGTCTACCGTATGATACGGTCGGTACCTATGCTCCAGCGTTTCGATGAGAAAACTCTCCAGAGCAGCGTTCCCAGCTGTAATATCTTATACCCTGCCGGTTATCTTGGCGACGTGTAAGTACTAGTACAGCGACCCATTAACCCATCTGGTTAAACTAGAAATGGCGCTACGGTAGAACGGTCAGATGAAGTGTGGCTTAACAGGCTAGCGAGATCTGCGGGAGAGCCGCATGTGGAGCCGGATTTTGGTGATACCCTGCCTTAGGGGGCTGTTTCCACAAAGGATTCCACTTTTCTGAGAGAAATAGCTCCCCGAAGAGGTCTGAGCGCTTGCCTGTTGAGCCACGGTTTGCACTACTCCAGTGCCATTTCCAGTGTAAGCTGGCAGTGCGGTACCGCACGGCACGATTCCGGTGGCAAGAAAAACAGACACCTACAGGGTTTGCAATATAAAATGCTGGTTCTCAACAGGTCCCTACACACAGCCATTGCCTCAGAAAAACCCGATGGATTTTTTTTTGGGCAGTGCAATACGACACCGGGATCCACATGATTGAATGTCATGTTACAGAAACTTCCAGAATTAGACATATCGCCGGTCCCGGATTCAGCAGCTCAACCGGGGACATTCCTCTGGTGCGGCTCATGATTCCAACATCTTGGTTAATTGGATAATGATCCAAGGTATATTTCTACTCTACCGTGCACCGATACCGGTACTCGTATTGACTGCGGGGTGCGGCACTTGCTTGTGAATAATGGATTACTCGGGTACTCTCGGTTTTCTGGGGTGGGGATGGGCATGGGTTGAGAATGGACACGTGAGATGTAGGGTCAGGGTTGCTTGTTTTGTGGAAGGAGTAGAGAAAGCCTAAATTTGTCACTCGGATGACAGGCTCCAGGGATTGATTGCCCTTGTATGGTATCATACTTACCTATATTTTTCTCTCGACATTGGGGTATATTTTAATGAGGGTGATGTGCAAGTGAGATCTCAAACGAAAATGTAGCAGCCCAAACTGCTGAGAAACACACGGGAAACTCAACAGCAGAGCTGGCCTAACATGGCAGTATGAAAGAAGAGCTTTCGAAAAAAAAGAAAGAAAAAAAAAATACCGAGGGGGGGTGGGGGGGGGGTTAGGACTGCTCGCGCTCAAGATCGCGTTTTGGGTAGACGCCTCGGCCTTGTTACCGGGACATTCCCGCGCCGCCTAATACCGATGCCGGATCGAGGGCTTTCCCGCTGCTTGAAATTAGTGAGGCGAGCCTATTCTATCAGCCTCCATATTGGTAACGTTTCTCACAGCTCCCGGTTCTTACCTTGCTCAAATACTGGTCCTCGAGTATTAGAGGCATTTCCTGGAAACCTTTGTCACCCACTAGCTTGAGGCCGCAGGCATTATTTGTTGATTTAGCGATAGGTTCTGGGATATTAATACGTTGCTCTGATTTTTCCGTACATCGGCACCATCATTTAGACTCCACCCCTTGGCAACCCTCGCACACATTTTCGCTAGGCAATTGAGACTTTCATTCCTTCTCGATCGCAGATACTGGCTCTGAGCATTGCTCGGACATACCTTAGGGACTGGGGCCGCGCAGTAGGTGATCCTCAATCCTGATGGTCACATAGTGGTTACTCCCCGCGTGGTAAGGGAGGAAAGCTGTGAGACCGTAGGATTGTGGAGAGTACCGGCACTTTGACATCTGGTCAAATAGGGTGCCCTCGAAAACAAGGCTATTATGCGCCCAGCCGATACAACGGAAGATTCGACCCACGTTCTATATATGCACGGGGAGTTTTTCTTTTTTAAACAGAAGCGGACAGCAATTTCTGCGGGGGTGACGAAATCGAATCAAAATACAAAGATGAGAATTAAGGGCGGGTGCAGCTGGGGTTAACGGCTTATCGGGTGCAGCGACTTATGCTCGCAGCCCATAAAACCGCCAGTGCTACTCGAGTACCTTATAGGCACGGTACAGTACTCGCACAAGGTATGATACGCCTCGACGGCCGTGTTCGGTTACTGCCGTTTTTTTGTGGCTTGACCAGTTTAGTTGCCGGCAGTGATCGCTGACCAATTGAAAAGGGAGAGACAATAAAATTATCCAGTTTCGCCATATGGAGGCGAGCGACCCGCCACTTCCATCGAGGTATGACAGAATAGTATCGGTATTCCAGCCCGGTGCTCTCAGGAAATATGTTTTTCCGCTCAAATTTGCAACGGATGAGCATCTGGAAAATATTATCCAGTCAGTCCACTTTGTTTACCGGTGTTTAGTCCGGATGCGACCGTGGAGTGGAGGGTTCATCCAATAACAGAAAAATATACCGGCATGGCCGAAACACAGTGTCTGAGACCCTGAGAATGTCCATGGAGCCACCAGCCGCAATGAATACTGGGGTAATTCAACTCACGCGGATTTCCACATACTGGTGCGAGACCAGCAAGCCTCCCTCCACTCATATGAAAACTGTATGACGGCACCGCATTCGCACTTGTTCGTTTCAGGTATAACAGCGGCTCTCATGTTCAGAAACGAAATCGGAACTGCTGAACTACCGGTACCGGTATTTTAGTAGTGCAGCCTGAGTGCGGATCCCGCCGGTACGGGGATGCTTGAGCACGGTACCGGTACTCTAGTTTGCGATTTGTTCCCTTTCAGTGCCGAGAGAGGGATTAGTCTGGGCGAGCCAATGGGCTGAAAGGCTTACTGGTCAGCAAACTCTTCCTGCTAAGTGCCACATCAAATAGAACACTACCAGTACCACATTGGTATAAGCATACACCCACCGCAACTCCACCCCACCTCCGGGTTGGCTACAGAAACTACCCGTAGCATACGCTACACTGGTACCCGAAATGCGATTCCATTGCCGTACACGGGAACTGCATTTTCAGTTAGTACACGGTTCTGGGAGGTTTCGCCGGGTTTCGCGGTTTGGATGTGGTTCAGGACAGACAAACACTGGGGAACCGGCCCCTAATTAGCGATCCCCCCCCCACTTCTCAAGGTTCTGACAGGAGCATGACAAGGCCTAGTTTCCGGGATCCGTATCTTGTAGATACACCCCCGACATTCAAACTGCGTTAGTTCGTCCAAATGAGTTTGTCCAAATGGGAATCCTGGGGGCATTACCGTGACCTATACCTTTCCACGGGAGCCCAGTACACCAGGACCAAAGAGGGGGTTTCGGTGCTCTAATAATTCACAGGTTTTGCTTGACGGCCAAATCGCAGCAGAAGAAAAGTCAGGGGCCGGTGGTGGGTACATGAGAGGGCGTATGTCAAGGTTTAGCCGTGCCAGGAAAACACACTTTCGGGAGTTTTTTGCTCCGGAAAGAGACCACATCTTAGAGCTAGGCTACTCGGGATCAAATCATTTGAGTTATTGTGATATCCAATTTGATCTTAGGAAACAATGTGCACTTACAGGAACTTAGCCCCACAAAGGGTGATAGTCACAATAACATCATTCCCGGCTTCCCGAGAATTCCTTGCTGAGGCGAGGATGCATTTTCTTTGTGAAGGGCATTGGCAGTCGCTCGGTCGGATGACTAGAAAATCGCTTGAATTCCTAGCACGCTGCCCACAAGTGTCTTAACACTGTGCGAATTGGCCGAAACCGGGAGCGAGGCCTGGGCTTCTATTTGTAGAGTTTGATAAAGAGTGCTATCTGCACCTAAGATGGAGGTATGGACTGGAAGAGCTTGCGTTTGTTTGTGGAACTGGTATGCGCAACGGCCCACCGGTAAGGCGGCCGCTAGTTCGGTATTGGGTGTTGCCCCACGTGCACTGAATTCTTCTGGGGGGGGGGGGGGTAGGCCCTGGGGAGGTGTTGTAACGCTGTTTGGGGAGTTTCCAGTGAGGCGGATGGGTGGGTAGTGTTATTAAACAAATTCCACTGCATCCTTTGCTTGTGCCAGCCGGGGGACTGGATTGGAGAAGGGCTCTATGAGGGATTGAAATTCATAGGAGAGGAGGGTATATATTCGAATTCATCCCTAGCACATGAAGCAAGGATATTTAGCAACTAGGCGACGCAATGAAATGCTACTAAGCTCAAGCCAATTGTGGGACCCACAAGCATAAGAAGTTGCTATTCACTATTGGCAGACATCACCCTATAAACTACCGGAGCAAGACATCCGATAGCGAAATGATCTCTTGACCAAACTCGATCTTCATATCCAGCAGCACCATTCTTCTGCCAACCCAAGCTCTCTTTCCTGTAAACCTTAATCTAGATTCTATTTCTGCCCCTCCCAACGTTTATATGGAGCTCGCCGGCTTCTTCACCGAGCTACCTCCTACTCGCCTCTCCCTTTCTGGTCTCGCACACCACTCTGAAATAATTTGG